TGTATTATTGAATGTCTCTTATACGCAAGTGATTGTCATACTATGCAATTGATTTTCTATTGGTGTTAATGATCAACCATTACGCGAGATTGAAAGTATATTTGTTCTGTTTGATTGTTCAAAGGTGCAATTGTTCATCCGTTGATGCTATTGAATGTTAATACATATGGAAATAGCGTTATTGAAAGTTCTTTCGCGTTCATGAATTTCATGGAAGTGCTAATGAATGTATATTTGCCGTATAGTTTCAACTGTTGACGTTAATAAATGTACATTTTGCGTAAATGAACAGCAAAAGGTGTAATAAGTTTATATTGTCCCAACCGTGATATGTGTAGAAATGCTACCAAAGCCACTATTCTGTGCGACCAGTGTGAATATCCTCCAAAAGCCCACGATCGACTACTTCGGAATGCAATAGTTATTGGACTACGCTCCAAAGAGGCCTATTACAAATGAATTGAAAAAGGTTCAGAATTAACGCTAGAAGAGGCAATAGAAATCGCTCAGAATCAGGACGCCACAGCACACCAAGTCGGTTACATGCCACTGGAATTCAAAGGCGAACTACTACAAATGGAAATTCATAAACTCCAAGGAAACAGGCAATCAAGAGGCAGCCGGAACAGACAGCAGCCACAAAGACCAGCTTCCAATGATCAGAAACAAGGAAGGTCAAAGAAGGAAACTTGTTTCTACTGTGGAGCGAAACCGTTACATCCCAAAAGTGAGTGTCCTGCAAAGAGGGCAAAGTGCCTCAAGTGTGGGAAGGAAGGGCATTACGGTTCCGTGTGCAAATCAAAGAGTAAAGATGCACGTGTTAGTGAGTTACAAGTCCAGTCTACAACAGCTTCTGAGTGTGTGGACCGCGTACTGAATGAATACGAGCCAGGTTACTTCAACACACCTATTCATCACCTCAAGAGAGTAACAGTGGAAAGTCTCAATCATCCAAAATCAGAATCTCACATCCACCCGCTATGGCTCTGCCAGGAATCTTCATCACAAATCTTCCAGATTGACTGCGAGGTTGATACCGGAGCAAGTTGTAACATTCTGCCGTTGTACAAGGCTAAAGCGCTCTTCGGAAACGACTTGAAGTTGGGCAAACCAACCGCGAACCTCAAAGGCTACAATGACAGTCCAGTGGAAAACCTTGATTCCTGCATTGTGTACCTTTACCATGGTAACAAGATATTCAGAGTTTTGTGCGAAGTCCCAGACAGCAAAGGTCATATGATCCCAGGCAGAAAGCAAGCGCTAATCATGGAATACGTCAACTTCCCTGAAATCCAGAAACCTGCTGTCCAAGCTAAAACAGATGGGTCTATCAGAACACTCGTGGAAGAGCCCGCAAAAACCACTGATGGTCCAGTAATTCCAAGAGTTCAGAAATGCACTGATCCAGTGGTACCAGTGATCCAAAGGAGTACTAAAGAGAAGATAACTATTAATGGAAGGACACTCATTGCCCACAACTAAGGATTACTTACTGCAGGAATACGTCGATGTGTTTCAAGGCATAGGAACTTTGCCGGGTGGACTTTAACGTATCCAGTTAAAGAAAGGCTACAAACCCGTTCAACACCCACCGTGCCAAGTTGCAGTCAGCCTAAAACCACTCTAAAAAGCAGAATTGGAGAGATCGACACAGCTTGGAGTCATTAAAGAAGTAAGGGAGCAAACTGAGTGGATTAACTCGATTGTTCCAGTTAAGAAACCAGATGGTTCCTTACGAGTATGTCTTGATCCGAAAGATCTCAACCGAGCGATAAAGAGGAATCAGTGGTACAGCAGGACAGTCGATGACATCTTACCTTACGAAAGTCGCCTCGATAGATAAGATAAAGTTAATATACGTGGCTGTGATATTTGTTTTTTACAGAGTTCCGTAGTTTTTTGTAAATTGTCCTCTAAAGTTGTATGAAATTAAAGTCTTAAAAAGTGTCACGGCAAGCCTTTGCTCGAGTGAAATTTAATTTCCGTAAAACTCTGAAAAATAAAGAGATCCGATCAAACTGATTGTTGTTTTAGTATAGGTACATGAATGTCTTACAACACACAAGAAACGAGCGAAATCCGTGTCTCAAGCAAAATCGACCGGACCGCTCTTACAGAGACACTCTCTTAAGATCTGCAAAGTTTCCTAGGACTGGTGAACTACCTAAACTGGTTCAGTCCGGCACTGGCAGATTTAACGGCACCGCTTAGAACGCTCTGTAAGAAGGACACTCTCTTTACCTGGGAAAGCTCACAACAAACAGCATTTGAGGCTATCAAGAAAGAGATTACAAGTGCACCAGTGTTGGCATATTTTGATAGGTCTAAAGCTAACACTATTCAGTCAGACGCATCCAAGAAAGGCTTAGGAGCAGTTCTTATCCAAGATGATAAGCCTGTGATCTACGCATCTAGAGCCCTCACTGAGACGGAACAATCTTACTCTAACATTGAACGAGAGCTGCTCAGTGTTGTTTTTGCTCTTGAACGATTTCATCATTATGTGTATGGATGCACAGCGATGGTTCAAACAGATCACAAGCCATTGGTCAGCGTGTGAAAGAAATCCATAGTGTGCAACTCACTACGCCTTCAGAGGCTATTGCTGAGACTATGCCAGTATAACGTAAGCATTGAATACCTGAAAGGGAAGGATAATATCGTAGCTGACGCACCGTCCAGAGTGTCTCCTCAGCCAATACCGAAAGAAGGAGAAGAGGAGGAAGATTTTATCCCAGTTCACATGCTCACAGAGGAAATCCCCGCCGATTCTACGAGAGTTGGAGATTTCAGACGCGCAACTGTAGAAGACACTATTTCCGGCTTACTGATGCGAGTGGTAGCAAATGGATGGCCTGAATTAAAGAAAGATTGCCACCCACTCCTTGTAGGCTACTGGAGCTACAGAGAAGAGATCAGCGCAGAGAATGGTCTACTCTTCAAAGGCCATCGACTCATAGTTCCTGAGAAATTGCGTAACAGAGTCCTCCAACTATCCACGAGGGTCCTTTTGGCTTTGAGAAGATGTAACTTAGAACCCGAGAAGTAGTATTCTGGCCTGGAATAACCTCAGATTTACTACAGGCAGCACAGGGTTGTGAAGTGTGCCAGACGCTCTCGAGGAGCCAACAACGCGAGACACTGTTGCCCCATGAAGTTCCTCAAGGATCTTGGGAGGAGTTAGGAATTGATTTCTTCGAGTTTCAGTCTACTACCTACCTCCTGATAGCAGACTATAACAGTAGGTTTCCTGTGATCCGGAAAGTACGCAGCACCAACGCGAGCGCTACCACCGAGATTCTGAGGCAAGTGCTTAGCGAATATGGAGTGCCTCAAACCGTTATGACAGAAAACGGCCCCCCATTCTCGTCGAAGGAATTTGCAGCCTTTGCAAACCAATACCCTCGTTACCCGCGGAGTAATGGTTTCATCGAACGTATGGAATTCTCATTACCAGGTTGTCCGAGAGCAAATGGTAAAAGACAAGAACAGAATGTGCGAACACTTCAACAAAACTGCAAGGGATCTACCTTCACTGCTACAGAGTCAGAGAGTGTACGTACAAGTTCACAAGAGTGTTCAAGAGTGTACGTACAAGTTCACCCAATGTAACCAATGGATTTCAGCAACCGTTACCAAAACGCCGGTAGCGTCTCAACCGAGATCGTACAGTGTCGAAACTACTGAGGGAGCCCAGTTAGTGAAGAATCGTAGCTTCATTCGTCCAGCACAAGAGATTGCTCCGATACCTGCCGAGAATATGAAGCGTGGCGACAGCAGTAGCAGCTAACGACTAAGACGTGTATTATAGAAACAATTTAACTAGTTTCAGCGTTTCAGTTAAGGCCTAATTTTTTTTAGTGGAGGGGAGATGTTGCATAATCAGCAATTCATTTGAGCTATAATTAATCCTATTTATTCTGCCATTCACATCTTGTCACGTTTTGTCGCAATATAAATACTTGTTAATAAGTGTATATTGTCCCAACCGTAATATATGTAGAAACGCTACCAAATATATAAACTCGTGAGTTTAGTTCTAGATAAGATTATTACTTTGATTAGTGTGTGTATGAATAAAAAACTTTTGCAGAACCGAATAGTTAACAGTAAGTTTTCAGAAGTTTAAGATAAATAAGAAAGTGTTTAAAAGGAAAACAAGAATCTTCTCCTGGCTTCGTGACACACATTCAACTTTGAATGATGGCAAACATACTTGAATGGGCAAACCAAAATAAAACCTTGGGTGTGGGTGGAGTTTATGCCAATGAACACAAGCCAGCAGGTATGGAAAGTCTATAGTTTCACCACTTGGGGATCAAATGGTCACAGTGTGTTGAAAGAAATGCTGTATGATTCTCTGAAAAAGGTTCATAGAATAGAACTACCTAAAGCACTCACCACCATTACTTGGCTCTGTATTTTTGCATCCTATCATGCCATTTTTTTCCAACTATGCAAGCTGCAATAGCCTTTATTGTATATCAACAAAAAGCTAATATTTTCAACTTTCTTGGAATGGCGGCCAAATTTGTATGGTTCATTGTAGTTCCCTACCATATCGACTGAGAGTCAGCTGCTTTGGGACTGAATCCCAATAAGGTGGAACCCAGAAGCCTTTTCAGACTTTTTTGGCGCCATTTTGAAAAAAAAAACACCTTCTCTTGTAACGCAATACAGAAGGGGTAGTCTGGCCCCACAGTGTTGATAAGATGCGAATTGGGATTTTGCGACTGGGCAACACATAATGGTCAGCAAACGGGGGTACCATGCTCAGCAAAACAGGCTTTGTTTTGCATTTGCTGTGGTAAAATAAAACTTTTCCATTTTGTTTGCGTGGGGGCTGGCACTTATGGTTTTGTGGTGGGACTTTCAGTAGAGACTTCCAAGTAGTTCTCAGGAACCTGAAGTCCCTCATCAGGATTCTCTATCATTTCATCAAGGTCAGCTTTCATTTTCATAGCAATCGTTTGTTTTCCAGAGTTATTCCACACTTTAGGTTTACATAAATTTTGTTGGGAAGCATATCTGTTGTATCCATTAATACTACTTGCATATTTAAAATGATTTGGAAGGCATCCACTTAGACTGGCCTTTTTTCCGTGGATGCAAAAACTTTCATCAAATTTTTTTTATCAACACTACAACCATATCCATCTCTTAAATCTCCAAAGGGCATATACATGTCTGACAATGTATGGCACACAGCATCTAGTTCTCTTTTTTCACTTAGTTATTTTAATTTACAAACTTTCATAAATAGCTGCCTAAACTGCATATGAAGCAAATTTTGTTTCCTCTTTCTGGCTGGTAGTTGTAATTAAGGTTTGAAATTGTTGGTCTCAGTTCCTAGCAACTCAGTGACCCGGCATTTTTTTATTCATTATGTGTAATACTTTATACACTTTCATACATCACAAATTTAAAATATAAATTACTTAGAACACTGAGAAATAGTACAAATGAAGAGCCAGGAGGCTAAATAGCTGCTAAGTTTTCAAGTCAGCTTCCAGTTTGCTTAAGTTGCTTAAATAAAACGAATGAGGGAGAACAGAACTATACTTAAAGAGACTAGTAATCATAATAATGATAGGGTAGACATTAAGGCAAATGTTCAGAGTGTTGCTCAGAGAAATTGAAGATTTTCAGTTATATTAAGTCTAGAAGGATTTTGTCATAAAGATTAATTCCTGAATAGACAATTGTTTGTTTTCCAGAGCTATTGCACACTTAAGGTTTACATAAATTTTGTTGGGAAGCATATCTGGTGTTGTATCCATGAATACTACCGCATATTGAAAATGATTTTGGAAGGGATCCACTTAAGCAGGCCGTTGTGCTGTAGATGCAAAACCTTTTCCAATGCTAATCAAACAAACAAGGGAACCACTGGTGGTTTTATTGGTGGCCCTAAAGAAACATGGCAACCATGGCAGCACACCAAGAGACTGGCCATCGCAGAGAAAGTGGGAAAGTTGAAGAAAAGACTAAAAGATCTCATGGGCAAACAAAGAAGTCATATTACCAAAATTATTGCTCAAAACAAGTCAAGACAAGAATTTGTTCCTCCATCGGGGAAGTATGTTGATTTACTCAAGGCGGAGCCTCTACATAACACAAATAATGCTTGGCAGAACTGATTTTCAGCTGCACTCTCTGTTGTAATGTAGTACACAAACCAGAGTCACCTCAAGGCAGCAACAACGTCAAGTGTGGGAGATTCCACAATGCCTTTCTACAGTGGTTCAGTGAGAAGCAAAAGAAAGGTATTACATTTTCATATGGATTCACAGCGCTTGAATCAAAGTACTTTTGTTGACATTTTGCCACCTTCATACAGGAACTTCTGAAGATCAGCTCTCTTTCAAAGGGGTCAGTTAAATAATGGAAATAATTAAACATACACCTTTGCCCCTGTTTGTTCAGTGCTGCAGGATGCTGCTCACATTCCAGTATCCATAATGAAATTTAGTGATAAGCACTTCACTAATTTTATTAAATTTCAGTTCCAGGGGCTTTTCTTTGGATACCAACACCTCACACCTCTCAAGGCAGCTCTCATTCGAAGGTGCAATATGCCTTCTCAAAATATCAGCTCAGTCCACTTCAAAGCCATCTACACCCATCCTCCTGAGTAAATACTTTGCTTTTCTTATATTCGCTATTAGACTATGAGTGTTTCTTTCCCTGCATCATCGGCCGAAGCTTCTACACTGTATGCTGTCTTGAGAAAAACCAAACAACTCAAGGGGCATATCCATGGAAAATTCTCCACGCCTGTGGCTTGCAATTTTAGGCCTCATATGCAGACCACAAATATTTTTCCATGCATTTTTCTAAAGGACATTGTGACCATCCCTCTTAAAGGTATTAATCTTTGTACATCAAAAATCTCCCTCCACAATGAGTGTATTTTCTATCTGATACCGCCATGGCATCTTCAAGCTCACAGAAAAATTTAAGGACCTGTCCTTTACTGCCGCCACTCTCAGTGCTTTTCAATAGATCACATTTCCAGCATTGAAGAGGTTGCCAAAGGCTTTCAGAAAATTGCAAACAAGCTGCCATCTTAAATTTTAACCATTACCTGTCACACACCTCTTATGCAACATTGACAGGGTGGTCTGGCCCTACTGTGTCAACCCCACAGTACAGTTGCTTTTCTGGAGATAAAATGTTTAACAAAGACCTACTGATCACAAAAACCATTTATTTCACTTCTCCTTATAAAGTTTCCATACTTCTTCTCCTTGACTAGCAAATATTGAAGGTATTCTTGCCATATCAATTCCTTTATTGCTGCCACTTCTGACAATTAAAATGAAATCGCATAACTGGGAATGATCTATAGGCCACATAGACATTTCCTATTTTTAAACATATAGTCATAGGTTTACTGACATAGTGAGCTCTACAAGTCTACTGCAACTCTTAAAGTACCATAAGTATTTCCTCATCCAACTAGAGAGTGCCAACAATTTAATGAAAGATTTATGCTTGTTTCCTTTTGCATGTACACTTTATGTTATAAGTTATGGTGCCTTAGTATTTATTATATGAGCCAGAGTGCATTCAGAGTGCATATCACTGCTAGTGATATGCCCACACATGGAATATTTGGAGGCCGTTTGTGTTTCACAGTGAACACGCCATTTTGAGAAAAGCTAAACCACGTTTATTTGATTGACAGTTTATACAAACCGGAAACTATGGCGAACACCAGAAGTTCGCGTATCGTGAAACATCTTCCCCTTTTTTTTTTTTTTTTTTTTTTTTAAAAAACAAAAATAACAATAATGACCTAATCATGACAAGTGTCCAAAATGCACTTAACAAAAAAAAAATATCTGCTTGTACCTGTAACAGTTTCATGCTAGTAAAAATAAAAGCAAATAAACAACAACAAAAAAATGTCTCAATGTTCAGTGTCTCATGTTCAGTGTCCATAACTGGTTTAGACGCTCAGACATAGTCCTTGAATCTCACAGGTGCCTTCACAATTCTGGTATGGGTTGATTTCAGTGGCACACTAAGATTCTGCTGCGGGGTATCGCTGACTTTAACTGGTGTGGTCACATCACTGTGATTGGTACTCCTCAATGCTGTTTGTCCTTCTGTCTCTGCAGGCACAGATGAGGGTGGTTTTCTTTCAGCAATAGTAGTCTCACCAGTCATTTGGGTGTCTTTCTTGGGCCTCAATGCCTGTCTGTTTCGACGTAGTGTGTTTCCATTGACTTCAACAAGGTATGAGCGATCTGATAGCTTCTGGACACAGGTGCCAGCTTCCCAGACTTTGTTTCGCTGACCAGCTACTCTAACTTCTTGGCCTATTTCAAGCTCTGGTATCACCTTGGCACTTCTATCGTAATAGCCTTTAGCTGTCTGCCTCTTGGCCTTCAACTTCTCTTTGACTCCTTCTTCTACTCTGGGGTACAGAAGATTTGCTGATACCGGTAACAATGTACGTGTTCTTACAGGGCTAGAGTTCACACCTTGTGTTGGTGTGTTCCGTTGATCCAATAACGCAAGCCATGGGTCTTTGTTGTCCCTGTGAGCTTTCTCGAAAATCTTCTTGGCCACTTTGACTGCGGATTCGGCCTTGCCATTGGATATGGCATGTTTAGGTGATGACTTCACGTGTTTAAACTCCCATTCTCTGGAAAACTCTGTGAACTCTCGGCAGCAGTACTGCGGTCCATTGTCGGTAACAAATACATCAGGTATGCCATGGCGACTGAATTGACCTTTGAGGAACTCTATGATGTAGCTCGCAGTTGTGCCTTTTAACTCGCCAACTTCTATGAAATCTGAGTAGCTGTCTGCAAGCACAATGTACTCCTTGCCGTTCAGAGTGAACAGATCTGACGAAACTCTGCTCCATGGACGATCAGGTATTTCATATGTCTGCATTGGCTGCTTGACGTTCTTCGCTTGGAATGTTGCGCATATCTCACATTTCTCAACAGCTTCTTTGATGTCTTTGGTCATGGAGGGCCAGAAAACTACATCTTTTGCTCTTCGTAGACAGGCTTCAATTCCTTGCTGACTGGAATGAGCTCTTGCGGTCAGTTCTGGCCTTAAAGCTTTTGGAATGATGAATCGCTGATTCTTGAAAATGATGCCGTTGTGAAGTGTTAGTTCTTCTCTGTAATTCCAAAATTCTCTAATCTGGACTGGTACTTCTTCTCTCCTCTCTGGCCAACCAGTCAGAATGGTAGTTTTGAGAGTTTGCATGACCGGGTCTTGTTCGGTGGCCTTTTGAAGCTGGGGCAGTCTCTCACTACTTATCTTGATGGTATCAAACGGGTTCATCGCTTCCAGCTCCAGAGCGAAAACTTGAAACTCTTCATCCTCTGTGCCTGTATCTTTCAGGAAAGCTCTGGACAGGTGATCGGCCACAAACATCTGCGTTCCTGGTTTATAGACCACTTCAAGGTTGTATTTCTGTAGCCGAAGCATCATTCTTTGGAGACGGCTTGACGCACACAGAAGCGATTTCTTGAATATTGACTGCAACGGCTTATGATCTGATTCGACGGTGACTTTCTCTCGTCTTGTGATGTACTGTGAGAACTTTTGGTAACCGAACACAATGGCCAGACATTCTTTCTCTATTTGTGCGTACCGTTGTTCAACTGCAGACAGTGTTCGCGATGCGAAGGCAACTGGCTGTCCGTTCTGGAGGAGTGTCGCACCAAGGCCTCGCTCGCTGGCATCGCACTGAATAGTAACCTCGTCATTGATGTCGTAATATTTGAGTACTGGATGGTTTGCTACCAACTTCTTCACTTCATCGAACGCCTTGTCGTGTTGCTCAGACCACATAAACTGGGCGTTGGTCAGGGTCAGATTTCTCAACGGCTGTGCTACTTCAGATAGTCTTGGTAAGAGTTTGGCCAGATAGTTGATGAAACCCAGTAGACTAAGAGTCTCTTTCTTACATGTTGGCTTGGGCATGTTTTCCACTGCGTTGACTTTGTCTGGATCTGGTTTGAGACCATCTTTGCTAATAACATGGCCCATGAACTTAACTTGGGGTTTCTTCAAGTTCATCTTCTTGCTGTTCAGCTTGAGTTTGACTTCTCTGGCTCTGTCTAGGAGTTTTCTGAGGTTTTCATCGTGGTTGGCATCAGCTTCTTCCTGGGTATCTCCATATCCGACTACTAGTAGATCATCTCGAAGAATTTCGACGCCTTCTAATCCGGTAAGCTTTTCGTGTAGCTTGCACTCGAACTCCTCGGAAGCCACGCTAATACCAAATGGCATTCTTAGATATCTGTATCTGCCAAAGGGAGTCCAGAAAGTTGTTTTCTTACTGCTCTCTTCATCTAATCCGATCTGATAGAACCCATCTTTCGCATCTAATGTGGTAAATACTTTCGCTTTGCTGAGTTTTGGGAGTATCTCTTCTAATGTTGGCATCTGGTACTTAGGTCTCTGGACTGCCTTGTTCAAATCTCAGGGGTCGAGACAAATTGTTATCTTTCCTGGCTTGGACACGATGACCATACTGCTGATCCAATCTGTGGGGTCGGTAACCTTTTGAATGATGCCTTTCTTCTCCAACTCTGCGATCTTCTCCTTGACTTCCTTTTGTAGAGTTACAGGTATCCGCCTGGGCGCGTGCTGCACTGGGGGATGGTTTGGGTCGATAACAAAGGTGCTGGACTCTCCTATGTGACCAAGTCCTTCGAACACATCTTTGTAGTCAGCTAGAATTTTCTCTCTGGTTAGTGGGACACTAGACTTTACTGGCTCTGTACCCATACTGTTTACTTGCGCTGTACCTGTTAAGGAAAGCTTCAACAGTCTTAGCTTCACACATGTTTCCGCGGATAGAAGAGGCTTGTTTACAGTCTCAACAATCTGAAAGTCCAACTCTTCATTGTCTCGATGTATCTTTAAGGTGGCTACACCAGAAGGCTTCATGAGAGAACCGTCAAACAACTTGAGCTTCACTTTACTACTTCTCAGTGGTGGATCTCCTGTTTGGCTTATGACGGCCAGGTCGCGCAGGCTCATCACCTTGCACGTGGCGCCGGTGTCTAGCTGGCATTCCAATTCGGTGTTGTATAACTCTTCTGTGTCTGAAAAGATTATCTTGGCGTTGAGTTGCTTGCCTGCCGTCTTCACGCTGGAGACTTCTTCAATTTTAAAGAGTGGATCTTCATCATCGGTCAAATCATCATCGGAGTCACTGGACGTATCCGTTTCTTCGGTGACTTGCTTCACGCTTTTGTGTCCTTTGGATACTGTCTTTCCGCCTGCTGGCTTGTTTTTAAAGCGACAAACAGATGCGAAATGATTCGGCTTCGAGCACAGGTGACAGGTTTGACCATATGCTTTGCATTCTTCTTTCCTATGTTGCTTTGTTGCCCCGCATCTGCTGCAATTCTTCTTCGCGCCCTTTGTAGCCTTTCCATTCTTTCCATATTTTGCGTCTTTCTTTTGTTTATGCCGCTTGTCGAGTCGTTTCGCTTGACTGTCCACGGCGTTGACTTGCTCATCTGTTTGGATTTCCTCCTGTTTCATAAACTTGAGCTGTTTGGAAGCCGCTTCATTAGACCTGCAAATACTGAGTGCTTTATTCAGGTCCAGTTCATCTTCTTTGAGTAGCCGTAGCTTTGAAGCTTTATCCCGGACGCCTATTACGATTCTGTCTCGTATCATCTCATCTGTGAGTGCGCCATATTTACACGACGAAGCCATCTTTCTCAATCGATTTACAAATTCGTCTATTCCCTCTTCGGAACTTTGTGTAGCTGAATTAAACAGAAATCTCTCGTAGACCACATTTGTTTTTGGCTTGAAATATGCTTCCAAAGCTTTTAAACTTGATGTCACGCTTGCCCTTTCTTCCGGAGTCAACTCTAGGTTTAAAAATATCTCAAGACAGTCTTTCTTTCCCCTTGACTAAATGAAGGGTTGCTAAACGAACTGGTTCTGGACGATGTTCGAGACCGGTGCCATGCTCGTAGTCTTGCCATTGCTGTCGAAAGAACTCCCAATTTGTGACTCTGTCGCCGGATATTTTCATTGGGCTTGGAACTCGAAAGTTCGAAGTAAAATTCAAAACTGGAGCGCTCGGAGCGCTCGGCGCTTGTTGTCCTGACGAACTTTCGTCGGGTGGAGGCATGTCTTCTTCGTATTTCGTCTTGTTTTTTGTAACTCTGTTGCCAAAGTGCTTTCGTCTTCTTAGACCTGCGTTTTAACGGCTTTTTGTGATGAGTCACGACGACTTTTACAGTTGCGAAGACCGTTTTTCCTTGCGCTTTTTACTCTGACACCATGTTTGTGTTTCATAGTGAACACGCCATTTTGAGAAAAGCTAAACCACGTTTATTTGATTGACAGTTTATACAAACCGGAAACTATGGCGAACACTGGAAATTCGCGTGTCGTGAAACAGAGGCCTAGGCCTGCCCACAATTGCTCAACAATATGAAAGTTTTTGTGAGTGCACTCTTAACAATATTATTACTAACCATAAGCTAAGGAAACCTTTGCCTCCCATTTTTAGCATATGCTATGATCTAAGACATACACGTACTTTTATGACCTTGCACTGTAAGACAGATTTAAGAACAGTTTTACGACATCCTCTTCAATTAGTGTTAGTATATGATAAATAACTATAGATTACATTGATATTAGATATATTTGTGTGGATATTTCATTGAATTCTTGTAATACATGACTCAGCCATATGGCCACAAAGTTTTATAAGAAGGTACCTATCAACCAATCATCAGTTATAGACCCAGATCAGCTTACTGACAGCCTCCAGGATGGAATGTTGCAAAAACCACCTGAAAGTTTCTTTGGGGGCATCCTTCCATCTCCTTCCTGGATGTTAGGGAAGATGTTCTGTGATGGTCAGAGGGAGGGATATAAACCAAGGTGCATCTTGAAGACAAGGTTGAATCAAGAAATTGATGCAGTGAAGAAGCTTACTGAGGAGAGAGATTTGTCAGATGATAGGCCAATATCCTGTTCTGATCAGTTAAGTGATGAAAACAGGATTCAGTTCAAAAATGTTTCTGCTGGCCAGAAGACAAAGAAACCGAAACCTCAAGATCCACCTCAACATTTCAACCAGTGGAATTGTTTTGAGCCCCTGAGACATGAGGATTCCGTGAAAGATTCTACATGTTCTAGTAATGCAGATAAGTCCTTCACAACTGTCTTGCTGGACAATTCTATGATAAAACAAATGCAGGCACTGAGGTTAGGTGGGAAAGTCAGCCATCATGTGGCCCTTAAATATTGCAAGCTTGCGAAAACACATTGATGAGCTGAGAGTTTTGCTTTCTGATAACCCTCTTGATATATTATCTACTAATGAAACAAGACTGATGATTCTGTCAGTGACAACGAGATTTAAATTACCAGTTATGATATCATTCACCGCTATCATGAACATAACTGTCGATTTGGTGGGGGAGTTTGCATCTATGTTTCACCTAATACAAATTTCTCTCTACGGCCTGGTCTAAGTGATATATGCCTTGAAAACATATGCATCAAGGTTTGTAAACCTCAATCTGAACCCTTTCTTATTGCTACCAGGTATAGGCCTCCTAATTCATCAACTGAGATATTTTCTCACTTTGAACCTTTGCTGACAAGCTTGACACGGAGAACGTTGAGTTTCATTTAATGGGTAACTTTAATTGTAATTTGGCTTCTCCACAACCTGATATCAACACAGTGTTGATAACCAATATTGTTAATATTTATAATCTTCACCAACTAATTGATAGTCCAACTTGCATCACTAACATATCTTCTACTCTGATCGATGTTATGTTTACAAATTGTCTTAATAATATTGTTTCTATCAGTGTATCCCATGTAGGCCAAAGTGACCATAGTCTCTCGCGTACACATTCCATAAGATCTCCATCAATTCATCAAAAGGCCATTCTACAATAACTTGTGGAAAATTCAGCAATTTCAACTCTGCCAGATTTGATATTTCAACACAAGATTGGGACAGGGTAAACAGTTATGATGACCCAGATGTTATGTGGGACATTTGGAAAAATCTCTTTTTTCAATGCATTGATAAGCAAGCCCCACTGTGTACAAAATGCATTCAGGCATCTAAATCACCCCAGATCACACATCAGTTGAAGAAAAGAATGCATTGTAACAATGTTCTCAAAGTTAAGGCCATTTCTTCTGGGAATTCATACGACTGGATGATATTTAAGAAATGTTGCAACGCTGTAAGCAGTGAAATCAAACAAGCCAAGGAAAAATTCTTCAAAAATGCATTGCGTGAAAATGAAAGTAATTCCCGTATGACTTGGTGAAAACCCAACTTGGAACATCATACATATCAAAAATATTTCCAAAAAAATTGCCTCCTGCATTGGCATCTTGAAGAGAAGCAGATCTTTTGTTCCTTTTGAAACACTCCTATGCATCTATAATGCCTAAGTTCAACTTCACTTCAATTATTGTAGTGTTGTATGGGGGAATTGCAGTAAATCTCTTTCCATTAGAATACAAAAACTACAGAATCGTGCTGAGCATGTTTCGACCTCTTCTTCATACGATGCCAATGCAGATGATCTCTTTGCTAGAGTAGGCTGACAAAAACTTAATCTTTAACAAGAATTAAAAACAGCCACTATGGTCTATAAATCTCTTAATGGTCTCACCCCTGATTATCAGAAATCAATGTTTACTGATCAGAGCACAATATCTACCAATTCTCTTAGGAATTGTGAGGGCAAACTGGCTGTTCCACTCGCCCCCATCAATTTTCTAAATAAACAGTTTCAGCTACAATGGTGCAGTGATGTGGAACAGCCTACCTACCAATCTGTGGCACACACGAACTATTGCTAGTTTTAAATCTGGCTACAGGGGTTTCCTTTTTGATAATAAATAAGTCAATTTACCACATGGCATTCATGGAAAGTAGACACTTCTGTTATTGTTTTTATTTTGTTGTTATTAGTTTTAATTAGTAGCAGATTAGTATCTTAACAATGTAATTAATGCAATTTTTGTAATTTAAGTCCTGATGTTTTATCCATGTATAAATAAAGTGTTAAATAAATAATAATGAATAAAATAAGGTCAAAATTCAATAAAAATTTTGCCATACATATTGTGCGGCTTTTCTTTTTACCACAGGAATTAGATGGACCAAATGTAAGTAGGGCAGGGAAGAAGCTTATCATAGATTCAGTTAAATGGAAGAGATCAAACCAATTATATCCAAATTCTTCCATTGATGTTGACACAACAGGAACTGCTTTGGATTGCTGTAAAGCCATTGAGAGTTATCTCTGTAACAAAAAGATGGCTGAACAGGCATGCACTAGTTCGTATATGATAAAACTGCTGTTTGTTCTGTTTCAAAACTTTTATAGTTAGCTTTTCATTAACTTTGATTTCTACTGTCAAAATAGCAAGGTTATAATGTAAATGAAATATTTGGGTTGTTGCCAGACTTGAAATGTGTGAATGTGTTTTGAAAGATCTTCACGTTATTGACAGATGCTTCCATGATATGATAATGAAGCATAGTCTGTTGAAGTATTTTTGGTTTTCAGATGAATTTTCATCTTTGTCATGGCTAATTCCTATAACTTGACATGCTCTGCATATAACCAAATCATCATGAGTGATGTGAAATGAAACTGTTTACATTCCAATACATACGCACTGATCAGAGCGCTGAATCAGAGGTTAAGTCAAGTGTTTCCTATTTCAAAAAGGCCAAACCATTAGAAATTGATAACCTTAATTCTCAAACCATTTTTTTATTTTTAATACTCATGTAATGTTACTAATTATTTTTCTTAAATTCTTATTCTTACTTTATTATATCTTTAGAAGAACTTTTTCCGGATCAGATCCTTTTGTTAAATATTCTTTTTGTTAAATATTTTTAGCACAATCTAAAATGATGTGATATCAATAAAGAATATCCTTCTGATCAGACGCAACCTCATTTCACTTTATAATTAACCTTTGTTTTGTTAGTGATACACACCAAGTATAGAGTCGATAGATTTTCATCAACTTAGTTATACCCTGTACCAAACACAAGAAACAAGAGTAACTTTTGTGATCTCCTCAGGTGAAACACTTGTGCAAAGTGAATAAGCAAAAGCAAAGGGAAAATTTTTAAGTTTCTCACCATGTTAATAAACTTTGGGGAGAGCAGAAAATGTTTTTCCATGCACTCACAGACACTTAAGAAATTGGTTCTTGGTTATTGTGCAAATATCATAGTATCCTAACAACAGTCTGATCGCACAGGCATTGTGATGTCCTATATATTTTATTACTTTAATCAAGATTCTCATGTTAATTACAAAGCCAAGAGCAATCAAAATTAAAGTCTGAAGTTGGAAACCAGTCAGAACAAACTGTCCACAGTCCAACAAAAACTGAACGGCGGCATAGAACAAAAATACATTATTCTATGATGATGTACTACTGCACATTTCAAATAACCCTTCATGGTTAAAAATAATTCACTTCACTGGCAAGCATTGTCATCAGCTGCAGATAGGGGTGAGGATCTTCACAACTTGAAAAGGGTAATTCTATTAATATACTGATACAATCATGCATAGTCACAGTCTCCATGCATCAAGAAATGGGCAGGGAAAAGATATCCTCAAAGTTACTATGTAGGGAAAATTTAACAAAAGAATTGTCATCAAGTGTTATGGTCCAGACCAAGAGAAGATTACTGAATGAACCAAGGAATTTTTATCATTTTCTGTACAATTGTAACTGTTTACAAAACAGTGGATTCCAACTTGAAATCATTTTGTGCGAACACTGTGTACTTCCTTGACAGCTCCTATCAGAAAAACTTAAATTTCAATAATGGATTTTTGTCCAAAATTCAATAAATTTACATATGCCAAAGGATGCTTCTTAGGCACTGAATATACCCCTCATGGGAGATGGCAATTTTTCCAGCAGTTAGGCAGTCATGAGGCATAGAAACAGCGTAAATTATCTGAAGTCAAATTTTCCAAGCCTCTTTTAGTGGAGATTTTATTGAAGAACTGAGACCAATAATTTCAAACCTTAAATACAACTACCAGCCAGAAAAAGGAAACAAAAATTTGCTTCATATACAATTTAGGCAGCTATCTATTAGAGTTAGTATATTATAATAACAAAGTGAAAAAACTTTGTAAAAGTGGACAAAGAGAACTAGATGCTGCGTGCCATACATTTTCAGTCATGCATATGCCCCATGGAGATTTAATAGAAGGATATGGTTATAGTGATGATAAACAAATTTAATGAAAATTAGACACCAATACTTAAAGAAAAACACTGTCAGTGCTATGTACAAAGATTTTAAATTGATACTTTAAACTATTTTTTATTCTACCCAAGAATTCTCTTTATTGGTCTTGATATCTTGATATTTACATGTCTGCAATGAAGATTATGTCATACCAAGGGGTTAGATTTGTCTTTGTGGAGATATTCCGGACTGAATTCTGATTTTTCCTACCATAATTTTAGCTTTATCAATTTCTTACTTTCTGTAATGGGTAATGATATAGTCATACATGGATGACATACTTAAGTAGCACCTTGTGCAAAAATTTGCCACTCCCATGCTGATAAATACTAAGAAGTTCAACACATCTCCTTAGCCCTGCAGGGACTAGGTTTGTCTTCTTTTAAGAAACAGCTGCTAGTATACAACGCCACTCAGTTGTATAGTGCTATGAACAGCCTTGAACCTCAATATAACAATTTTTGCTTCCAAATTCAAACGTTTTCTTTAAAGAGGCATACTTTGCCTTAACTATTTAGGTCACCTCTCAAATGGGTTTTAAGCCCACTTGTTAGTGTTTAATCTTTTTTTTCCAAACGACGGTATAATAAACAACATTGTTTTAATGCAAAGAGCATTTTTTTCTTTTGTTCTGCCATCTTTTCATCCCCTGGATTTTTATTCCTGTAAATTCCGAAGTAAACCACAAGGAATATATATATTATTAAATGTAATTAATTATTAAAATATATCATTATTAAGGTATACTTTGATAGTTCCGTGCTGTTTGAATAGTTTCTGTTCTGTTTATATAACACTCCCAAAACATACCGATACCGCCAAGAAACAGTCATTTGATAGAAAGTTATTTAGAGAAAGTTATTTAGAGAAAGTAGAAAGTGTCATCAAACGAATGAGTTGGAAAGCGTTTTTCTTCGACCGCAATAAGCAGGATAACAACGATGCAACAAATAACGATAATTTTGGTTTTTAATCAAGAAAGTGCCCATCGCAGAACAGCGAACTAGACAAGTTTGAAACAGATCTTCTTGACATGGTACACAACATAAAGTTTAGAAACGTCAACAACAAATTCCAGAAAAAACTCAACGAAGACATCAGCAAAATCAAGAAATCGACAAAAGCCTTCATTCCTGCTGACAAAACTTCAGACTTTTACAAGCTTGACAAGACGCAGCACGACAAACTCCTGATGGACAGCATCACAACCACCTACAAGAAAGCTAGCACCGACGCCGTCAACATCATTGACTCACAAGCACAATCTATCGCCCAAGAGCTCAACATTGACATCCGCACAGAACAAGTCGCAAAACAACAAGCTTATATTACCCTAAAAGACCACAAAGATAACGTGGCCAACCACCCTACATGCCGCCTCATAAATCTTGCAAAAAGTGAACTCGGAAAAGTCAGTAAACAGTTAGTTATAGCTGCACAAACAACCTACAAACCATAATTAAGAAACACAACAGAAAAATCCTCGAGACAAGCAATACACTTCCACGGATAACAACTGTAACTGCAGGAAAAAAAACGATTGCCTCCTTTTAAGCGTCGTCTACAACGCCAACGTAACAACAGAAAGTGACACAACCGGAAAGAATTACATTGGACTAACAGAAGGAACTTTTAAATAACGTTACACGTAACACGAACATTCTTTTCGGAACAGAAACTATTCAAACAGCACGGAACTATCAAAGTATATCTGGACACTCAAAGACAACAACACCAGTTTTACAATTAACTGGAGTATTTTAGCGACCGCCCCAGCCTATAGCAACAAAAGCAAGCGGTGCCACTTGTGCCTCATAGAAAAACTTTATTTAGTTAGAGCTAAGAAGCCGTCTTTATTAAACAAAAGAACAGAACTCATTTCTAAACGCCGCCACGAGAGTAAGTTTTACTTAGCAAATTTCACAAGCCGCCAACAATAGCTCTATAGAATCTTTATTTCACACGTAGATTAGATCATCACTCTAGTGAATTAATCAGCTACTCATCTAACTTGTATATGAGGAGGTATGTTATTCATTGAATAAAGTTCTGTCTGACGAGCGCTTAGGCGCGAAACTCAGTCACAGAGAATCGATTCTTTAACTTACATATCTATATATATATATATATATATAAATATACACATATATTTATATAATATATTATAGGCATATCCACACCTTTTATGCAAATCTGCATAATGGGCGTCATGGTCAATTTTAATGCTTTGTTCAATTGTTACACAGTAACACTTTGTTTCTGTGGCGTCATGAGGACACAATCTCATTATGTTTATTGAGTGATAATAATTCAGGTTGGCAGATGATAAATAATTTTTCTTTGAGGCAGAGGTTGCATCTTTTGTTTGGGCTGCCTAGGGTGATCTTAATGAAAGGATGTGCCATGAAATAAAGTGGTCAATGTTATTTTTTTTAAGGGTTCAGATATGTTTTTTGAGTTCGGTAGAATTTCCGTGTTTTGTGTGTCGGAATGATGCAGTGTGGTTTCTGTATCTAGTCTTGAAGTCGTTTTCTGTACGTTCCCATGTATGTTTCAGTGGTGCTATTGTCCTTACATGTGACGGTGGCTTGGTAGATTAGTGATGACTGGAGGCAGTTTCCGTTAAGTGGGCATGTGTTCTTCTGTCAGCAGCCGCAGTTTTGGTGTCTTTTGTGTTGGTGTTATCTGCGGTGTCATCGAT